AGTTGGAAAAAGGATCACCCCCTCCTAAAAATGACTCGTGAACTCAATCAGGTGTAGCTAATCACCTTCTCAATGGCACACAAAGTCATTTGAACTTTCAACTGCGATCAGCTGTGGTCATATCTCAGCTTGAAAATAGCTTTCCTGGAGCATTTGATCCTTGGTAGTGCAACTGAATCAAACAACCAGCTATGGGTGGCAAGACACAGTCAAAAGATCTCCGGGATAAAGTTGTGGACAGGCACAAGTCAGGAGATGGATACAAACAAATTTCAAAGGCTTTATCAATGCCTAGAAGCACAGTGAAGTCTATTATTAAGAAGTGGAAGGTATTTGGTACAACACAGACCCTCCCTGAATCAGGGAGTCGCTCCAAACTGGATGAAAGAGGCAGGAGGAAACTGGTCAGAGAGGTTACCAAGAGGCCTACAGCAACTCTGAAGCAGTTGCAGGAATTTATGACAAAGAGTGGTCATTGTGTACATGTGACAACAATATCACAAATTCTGTTTGGGGTCCAAGCCAGGTCCATGTTATTGGCTTTACCAAATTAAAAAATAACAAATAAAAACAAATGTAACAAATAAAATAATAATAATAATTTGCTTCAATCATCCTCCATATAAATGTTTTATGTCTGAGTTTTCATTAAATAATGCAATTAAATAATGCAAATATGTCATTTCAGTTTCTGGGACCTCAAATATAAAAACAATAAAGTCTCAACAGAACATGATGGTTTTAAAACGGTCTGTCCTGAGGGGCCATGGTTCTTTCACTTCCTCTCATTCTGGTGTCAAAGTATTGAAAAATTAGTGTACTTTGACTGTAGAGGTTTCTGGGCATGTTTAGAAACAAAGAACACAGAGTTTTTCATGCCTTTTGATCTTCTCAGCACCTGTGGTCTCCTAACCACCTACACAAAACACACACAGACCAACGGCATGTTTCTCTGTTTGCCAACTCAGAAAAAGGTTGATGAGTGCAACCTGTTTCTGTCTTAAGAGTACACGTTGCCCGTTAGTGCATGTTACAGTCATGGCGAAGTATGCGTGAGTGATGCCCCCCCGATGTCTTTCATCTGCTGTCTCATAGTTGTGTGTTTTTTGTTTGCTCAGGTTTTGGGGGCACGAGGAGGGAGGGACTCTTACCTGTCATGCCAGGCCTGTGTTTATCCACAGGCAGACTGTGGCTTTTTTCAGATCTGTAATGGTTTTGCATTTATGTTTGGGAAAGGAAAAGTTACTGGAATACTGTGTTGATAGAGGCAGAGAGAGCGAGAGAGAGAGAAAGGAGGAGCAAATAAGAAAGAAAGAAAGGCAAGTTTCAGCAGTAATATGAGGGTAGGTCCATTACTTCTCACAGATAAACATGTTTTTGCACTGCAAAACCTGGAGAAAGTTTGTGTACCCTCACAGGCAATCCAGCAGATGTCAATGATAACTTTAAAGGTTTGCGTGTGTGTGTTCCTGTAGCAGGAAGCTAAACGATCCACCTCACAGACAAATTAAACCGAAAGGAACCTAGAGATTACAGGCCACCAGTACAGAAACCACAGTTTAAATGAAAAGACTACAGCGCAGTGTTTTAACACGCTTAAACATGACAAGGAGTCATTCTTTAGCTCACTTCCAGTAAAGTCTTACAGTGACTGCTTTTCCATGCACAAGAATATTCATATATCAGTTAGTTTGTGTCTGATTGTCAAACCATTTGGATTACTTATCTCAAGAGATTTTTCACAGGTCCTCTCCTTTCATAACCTTCATTATAGGCTGATAGGTTCTACAGAATGCTGAGATACTGTGACTATTTGTCTGTGGTTGTGCAGAGGTTTTATCTTATCACCACATATCACATCCCTGTTTTATCAGATTGTGGCTTCTGGTGCATTCATGTCATTGGGCCGTTTAAAAGTGCTGTAGCACTGATGAGGCATTTCTATGAGTCAGATTGATAGTAACATACTTTGGTGTAGATTTTATATGAATTAAGACCTCTTGTAGTTTATTATCTTTATCAGAGCTCTGCTGGATGACGGTCTCCTCCTCCTGTTTTGAGAAATAATACTGGTGTGGAGAATCAGGCATGTCATGCGCCAATCGTTTGAGGCACGATAACATCTTAGTATTTTATTATTGATTTATAAGATATTTTATTCTAGTAAATCAGTTTATATATACACTGAACAAAATTATAAACGCAACACTTTTGTTTTTGCCCGCATTTTTCATGAGCTGAACTCAAAGATCTAAGACTTTTTCTATGTACACAAAAGGCCTATTTCTCTCAAATATTGTTCACAAATCTGTGTTAGTGAGCACTTCTCCTTTGCCGAGATAATCCATCAACCTCAAGGAGATGTGCTCACTAACACAGATTTAGACAGATTTGTGAACAATATTTGAGAGAAATAGGCCGTTTGTGTACATAGAAAAAGTCTTAGATCTTTGAGTTCAGCTCATGAAAAATGGGGGCAAAAACAAAAGTGTTGCGTTTATAATTTTGTTCAGTGTAGATATGAATCTGTGTGAATATGCTAAAGGGCTTTGGGACCACTGACAGTGTGATTATGTATTTATTTATTGACTTAAATCTCGGCTTTTAATGGGCAACTACAAACGTAATACTCATTTTAGCACTTCAACACTAATCAGTCCACAGAGCGTATCAAGCACACTTTAAACTCTAAAACTGAGTTAGACTGTTTAGAACCGTGGGTATATTTGTTGTGATTGTAACACACATGATGCGTGAATAAACTAAACAATTGCAGAATTAGTTGTTCATTCCAGGGTTAAAGCAGATCATTCCCCCATGGACACGGCTTTCCTTCCTGTTCTCTTGTCATCAGACGAGGGGAAGGGGAGCTGTGGATCTGCCAGTGGCTGTCTCTGTGTGTTTGAATTTCCGTACAGACTTTTTGTGAAGCAAACTAGCATGTTCCTAAAGGGCAGTGGGTACAGAGGCGTTACTGTCAGTGCAGATACAGTGGGTACGGAAAGTATTCAGACCCCCTTAAATTTTTCACTCTTTGTTATATTGCAGCCATTTGCTAAAATCATTTAAGTTAATTTTTTTTCCTCATTAATGTACACACAGCACCCCATATTGACAGAAAAACACAGAATTGTTGACATTTTTGCAAATTTATTAAAAAAGAAAAACTGAAATATAACATGGTCCTAAGTATTCAGACCCTCTGCTCAGTATTTAGTAGAAGCACCCATTTGATCTAATACAGCCATGAGTCTTTGGGAAAGATGCAACAAGTTTTTCACACAAATTTAAGGGGGTCTGAATACTTTCCGTACCCACTGTAGATTGCGATGATCATCTTCATTAGCTTTATGTATTGGACCTGCAGAGAGAGAGGAGGAAAGATCTTGCTGGCTGACTGCTTTTGGATTTCCAGATGTGCTTTGCTCTTGAGGAGAAATATAATACACATTACAATATGCTTGTATGTTGACATTAGTTCAATGCATTAGTTAACGAGCTAACATAAAAAAAATACAAAAAAAAACAATAAAATTCTGAATTGTTTACCATACGAAGCTATTTCAAGTTGTAATCTGTCCCTTAAAATGATTTTTATTAGTCAAGTTGATTCAGTCATAATATAAAACAAAAGTTTGGGGTCTGTAAATTGTAATGTTGTAAAAAAAATTATTACCATTAAAATTAACTGTTTTGTTAAAAAAAAAAAAAAAAAAACGTATTTGTAAAAAGAATTTTTCCTGTGATGGCAAAGTCGAATTTTCAGCAGCCATTACTCCAATTACATGATCCTTCAACAATCATGTTAAAAACAGTTGTGGTGCTATTTTTGTGGAAAATGTGATACTTTTTTTTCAGGAATTTTTTTTTTGATGAATCGACAGTTCAAAAGAACAGCATTTATTTGAAATAGGAATCTTTTGTAACATTATAAATGTCTTTACTTACACTTTTGGTTAGTTTATGGTGATGTCAGCATGTCTCTAGTGTTATAAGACAGACAGACAGAGAGGAAGACAGGCTAGAGAGAAAGCCAAAGGATCAGAAGTCTGTCTCTCCCACCAGCACATCAGATCATTTAACACTCACACACACACATACACTAGACTGGAGCTGAATCATGATGCGACACTGACTCCCAATCATAATTCCCTTTTCTGTGTAATATTTTCCATGATGTAGCAGACTTGTAGGTTTTACATTTTCAGCAATACTGTCAATATCCGCAGACTGACAATCCTGCAGATTTAAATGATCAAAGAGAGATGAGAAAAACACTCCAGCTTTAGGCCTGAGATCAGTTCTTGATTTACCTCAAGCTAAAGCAGTTGCTGTAGTTCAGCAAAGCTAATTCCACAATACAAGACTCATCAAATCGACTTTTGATGTTTTATATCTGCGACTAGTTTGTGACAAAAAGCAAGTCTGCACTTGCATTAGGAGCACTTTTACAGAAAGATCAGCATATCCTCATGACCACTTAAAGGCATTTACTTCCTTTACACAATTACAGTGCTGTTGGTGGCTAATGCCGATGCAGGTCAGGTCAAATTGTCCATTCATCTGCACCTAAAACATGGTCAATTAAAGCGGTTAGGTCAATAGAAACAGTGGGGAGAAAGAAAGGAAGATATCTTTGTTTGGGGAGTGTTGAAAGACAGAAAGAGAAGCTTGTTCAGTACAATCAATATTGTAGTCAGAATCCCCTAATGATTAGTATCTAGATGCTTTTTTCACCTTGTGTTTGGATTTATTGCATCTGTGTTCCTTTTCTCCTTTTATCAAATGTAGGTCTAATTTTCTTCTTCCTTCCAATCTTTTCTTGCCCTATGCATCAACAACTCTCTCTCTTTCTGTAGCATGACGTATGACCTTCAATGCACCATGGGAGACTGTAACAAGTGAGAGGTTATTCTGCACTTAATTGCTGTGGTGACAGCGCTGCTGAAGGGTAGTCTTTAAGATTCTGCTGTAACATCATAGGTCAGTGACATGGCATTTCATGTCTCCTAAAGCTGTCATATTACTACAGCAGGCTGCTTAAGACTCAAAACCACAATTCCTAACTATTCTCTGAGGAAAAACAGGATGGTTTGCTACCATGGCATGCTTTTACTGAGATAACCAAACATTAGTTTGTGTTTTTTACTTCACACATCTTTGATTCTGCTGTCTCTTTTATGGGAGATAACAGTTTCTTTGCTGTTAAACAAAGGAATTATTCACCCAAAAATAAAAACTGAAATTGATTAAACTTTCCTCAGGTCATCGGAGATGTAGATAAGATTTTTTTTTTTACACTTTCAGCACTTGCTCACCAGTGGATCCTCTGCAGTAAATGGGTGCCGTCAGAATGAGAGTCCAAACAGCTGATAAAAACATCACAATAATCCACAAGTCCAGTACATCAATTAACATCTTGTGAAGGAAAAAGCAAATCCATTTTTAAGGCATTTTAACTTTAAACCATTGCTTCTGGCCAAAATTTGAGTCCATAATCCACAATAACACATCCTCCAGTGAAAAAGTCCATCCCCTGTTGTTCTCCTACATCAAAATCCATCAACATATTTGTTTAGAACTGTTTTGGACTGTTCTCACTTGTAAATGGTGCTTAATCTGTGCATATTTCTCTCCTGATTCAGATGAGACTACTTTGGTGAGCAAGTGATGTAATGCTGAATTTCTCTAAATCTGTTCCAATGAAGAAACAAACTGATCTACATCATGGATCCATCCATTTGTACTTTCAAAACAACCTTCTGATTATGATTCATCATGGCACGGTAATATGAACACCAAATACAACCGCAGAGGGTGGTGTTATCTCAGTCTGAGTTTGTAGTAACTGCCTTTTAACTACACACAGAAGCAGGGTTGCCAGGTTTTCACAAGAAAACCTGCCCAATCGCTACTTAAAACTAGCCCAAAACTAGCCCAATGGCATTTCGAGGGGGTCCCCAGTTAAAAATCGTGTTCCGGGGTTTTTTTTTTTGGTGGGGTTCCCCTGCTAAAATTCGCATTCCAGGGGATAAATATCATGTTATTGGAGTCGCTTCAACACGCGGACATGAAAAACAACCCGCAGCAACAGTGTTAAAGTAGCCCAATTCCACGGGAAAACCGTGGACTTGGCAACACTGCACAGAAGATCTGTTATGGAGGCTAACTGCTAGCATACACAATTAAAGGGACAGTTCACCCAAATTTCTGTCATCTTGTACTCACCCTCATGTTGTTTCAAATCTGTGAAACACAACTGTTTTTGACCATGGGAGTAAGTAATTTTCATGTGAGCTATATTATTTTAACACAACAAAATAACATCAAAATAGATGTAGATGTCGAGGTTTATATTAATGATTGATATCGGTAGAGAGGCTTTTTGTCATTCATTCCTGCTGTAAAACCTTGATCTTAAATCTTGATTCTCCTTGAAATCTTTGGAATGACAGCTCATTACAGAAAGCCTCAGACATTCAGTAATGATTCAGTTCAACTTCTGTGCTTTATATTCAGTAGAAAAACAGCTGTTTCCACTGCTAGTCTCTTGAAACTCCGATGAATTATGCAGCATACCTTAGAGCCAACTGAACCGTGCTGTGCCTCTAATTGGGCTGAATTTCACTGAGAGGTTATCAATAGAGGTATTTCATGCACATTTGTTAGCAACTCAGTGAGAAATTCTGAATAATACTGCCTTATACATTTGCCAGAAGTAGAGTCTGGAATTGAAGATTTTTTAAATTGAAATTATTGGTTTGTTATGGTTTGATCAGACTCTGACATTATTATCGCAAAATATTATCACAAACAGATTTCATGTCTCTAAATGTATTGTTCTGGAATTTGTTGATAACATATGCTTGATACAATGCACAAGTTTACAAGTCAAAAGGTTATATTGAAATACCTGAAATACCTGAAATATGCAGAACTTGTTGGCCGATATTTACTCTTTGCAGGCTGAGTTGGTGAGAGTTGCTTATGCAAAAGAAACCTGATATCATTAGTATTCATAAGTATTTGTACATTATTTTTACACAGATTTTTGTATGTCTGGATTTACACTGAAACAAACAATATAGACGTATTGACAGCACTGAAAGTTATGTACACGCATCTACAGACACAACAAATATTTTTAATAATTTTTTTTAATTATAAATATATTCATATAGTTACATTTTGCTATTAAAATATTTAAATGGTTAAATATTAATCCATTTCATTTTAACATTTTAAAGTTTAGACTTTGGTAAAGTGGTAAATATAGCACCAGAAACAGAAAGAAGCGGTTATAATATCAAATGAGGTAAAAGCATTAAATACATGTGATGGCATTGAACATATTTTATTGATATCATTGAATTACATACAATAAAATCAATCTATTAATTAAATAATTTTAATATTCAGTAAGCCCTAAAATAATTTTTAAGCCTACGTACATCTCTATGTTAATGTAAAATGCATATTCAGTGTCTATGCAAGCTTACAAAAATATGTATACAAGAAAAGTTGAATATAAAATATTTTTTTTGTCTTTTCAGTCTTAAAATAAGAGTTCAGCCAAAGATAAAAGTTGTGAGTGTCATACAGGTTTGGAATGGTATGATGCTGAGTAAATGATGACATGTTTTTGTGTGAACTGTCCCTTTAATAGTCATTCTTTCCATAGTGACCATAAAATGCTCGACTAATGACTCTTCCCAGAAGTAAATCAGCTAATGTGATGGATGCAAGTAGCTCTTGTATGCACAGTTGTTTCACAAGTACAACCTCAGATTTCACAGAAAGAACAGACTAACAGAACTCCAGACAAATACTGAAAGAGAGAGAGACTGAGAACCAGCCAGCCATGAGTCTGTGGATTGTAGGAAATTGAAAGACATAAAGGCTAAAAGGAGGAAGGGGAAGAACTCTGGGTTTGATTCTGCTTCAGAGGGGCATGTGGTGCCACTGACTGGCGGGCCGGCGATTAATGAGAGTTTGATTTAAGGGCTGTTCTCAGAGCAGCCGTCCCCGGCGC